CATCGATTAGCGGCCTCATTCGGCCGGCCTAGCTCTCTGTCTGCATCGGCAGGTCACGTAGAGAGCAGCAGCACCGTTTGACCCGACCCGTGGTGGACCTTTAAATTCACCGACTGACCCCCTCTGACTAATTCACCTGTGATGATAGAGAGAGAGAGAGAGAGAGAGACTTAGCAGACACTCCGAGAGTTGACAGTGAGCTGATTTGGATGGCAGGCAGGACGACCGCCACTCGGTGACACTAAACACTGCAGCAAGTGCTGCTGCTGGTGCCCTCCCCTCCACCGACCTGACGTCGCCAGACTGCTCAGAGCATGTCAANCGCCACTCGGTGACACTAAACACTGCAGCAAGTGCTGCTGCTGGTGCCCTCCCCTCCACCGACCTGACGTCGCCAGACTGCTCAGAGCATGTCAACTGTCTGACTGACTAATGCTTGACAGAGCATTCTCAAGCACACCGTGCACAAAGTGCAGAGGTCTTAAAGTCAAGTTTATTTATTTACAATCTTAGGTACAAAATACTTAAGTCGGACATCTCCTTCGTTTAGTTGGAGACGATGATAGAAGATTCACAGCAGGAAGGCAGCGCAGCTCTTGCCCTCGCAGACTGGTGATGGGGCGATGGTCAAGGAACACCAGAAATTGATGAATCTTAGCAGCCACTTTCAAAAGGGTCAAAGTTCTTATCACCCGAACGTAGATAAAAGCTCATCAAAGAAACAGTAGTAGTAGTAGTAGTTCAGAAGTCTGTTAATGAACTACTGGTGTCATAGGCGATTCGACAGGTCCTTGCGTACATGTCGGTGCTTGATGTGCGCCTCTAGATCGCGTTGACTGAGATAAGTGCGCTTGCACGACTCCGTCTTGCACATGAACACCGTACCCAGGCTGCACTTTTCAATCTTGAACGCCTCATCGTGACAGCGAGGACAGACGGCCGCTACGGCGTTTTTGTCCGCACAGTGGAAGCAAAAGACGTGCTTGCACGGGATCTGGTGGCGCAATAAGCAAGTGTTTTAGTGGCTGATCAGAAGCAAGCATCTGAACTGCTTACCATTCTTCCGTAGATGATAATGGGCATGTGGCAGAGATCACAGAGGTGAATGGCCGGATTGAGAATCTTCTCGCCCACCAGGTTGGCCCGGTAGTTGAGGTGCATGTTGGAGCTGCCAAAGGACAGCGAGGGCAGCAGAGGGTTGCTGTTAAAGCGCAGGCCAAACGGGTCGCCGGCTGGATTGTCGTCCAGGGCAAAGTCGTCCATCTCCGGAATCGACGGCGAGTCGGCTTTCAGGTCCATTCGTTTTCCCTTAAAGATAAGCGATAAGGTGCATCAAATGATTCAGGTTCGAAGAGGGAGGGAAGAGCCAGCAAAACAAAGCGGCAGCCGAAGCAAACCAAAACAGACCACTCTGGCCACTATGTGCACAGTCAGTGGCAGGTGGAAAATGTGACCGTTTTGTGAGCATGACCATGCACTCACATCTGACTCAGCGACACGCAAACACAACGCTGACTGTCGCAGTGAAGTGCTCACTTTCTCGCCAAATCGTATAAAACTAGCAACGGTTTCGTGTTAAAGCGCGCGCTGTTTTCATCAACTTTCAGTCCGTTCTTTCACCAACAAGATCAAGATCATCACCACCACCACTGCCGCCGAAATGTCCAACGCCGAGGTCACCTCCACGACGATGTCCATCAAGGACTTTGAGATTGGCAAGCCGCTGGGCAAGGGCAAGTTCGGCCACGTCTACCTGGCTCGCACCCGCAAGGAGGAATTTCTCGTCGCCCTCAAGGTGCTCCACAAGGCGCAGCTGATCAAGGACGACATGGCCCACCAGTTGCGACGGGAGATCGAGATTCAGGCGAACCTCAACCACAAGAACATCCTCAAGATGTACACCTACTTCTACGACGAGCAGCGAATCTTCATGGTGCTCGAGTACGCGCCACGGGGCGAGCTGTACAAGTCGCTCACCAAGGCTGGCCGTTTCGACGAGCCAAAGTCTTCAACTGTAAGTTGTGGTTTTTCCTGCCTTTTGCTTTTTCTTCATTGACTAACATTATTCTTCTGTTTTACTTTCAGTATGCCCTGCAAATGGTAGACGCTCTGGAATACTGCCACCAGAATGACGTCATCCACCGAGACATCAAGCCGGAGAACATACTCATCGGCTACAACCACGAGCTAAAAATCTCCGACTTTGGCTGGTCGGTGCACGCACCCTCCTCCAAGCGCAAGACACTGTGCGGCACCATCGACTACCTGCCACCGGAAATGCTGAACCACCAGACCTACGACAAGAACGTGGACCTGTGGTGCCTGGGTGTTCTCGTCTACGAGTTCCTCGTCGGAAAGCCGCCCTTCGAGTCGGCCGAAACGGCCACCACCTACCAGAAGATCAAGGCCGTCGAGTTCGAGTACCCGGATTATGTTTCCTCTGAGGCTCGCGACTTCATATCGAAGCTACTGGTTTTCACCCCTTCTGAACGCATGCCACTGGCCGTTGCTCGAGGCCACCCCTTCATCACCAAGCACAACAGCAGTAACGACAACAACACCACCACCACCACCACCAACGGCAATTAGTCTGATACCATCACTCTCTGCTTTTACCGCTCATTTACCTTCATCGCCATGTAAGATATACTGCCTAGGCAATCAAGTCATACTTAACTTATGCTCACTGTACAGATATACCCTTTTTAACTAAAAGATCCAATCAGACGCTGATTAGCGTGCGCGCATCAAACAAAAGTGGAATTTTATTTTGTTTTGTTTTTATATGATACAATAATCACTTGTAATAAATTTGAGCCTAAGGTTAGTGTTTAGAAGAGAGAGCGAGAATTCAAGCAGTCACAAAAGGGGCGGGGGGGCGAGTCAGTGGGGTCACACCATCACCTGGGAGGGAGGCTCACTTCGGTCATAACCTTGGTCTGGTGGTGGTGATGATGATGGGACGATGGTGGTGATGGTGGTGGCCATTGACCAGTGAGCAGTACTGCCCACTTGGCCTGTCCATTAACACTTGGTCACATTGAACATTGGGTGATGAGTGGATGGGTGGGGAGAGAGAGCGAGAGCGAGTGTCTTTGATATGCAAAAGAATGGGTCCAAGAAGAATGGGGAGATGTCTAGATGTTTGGGTGTGTGTGTGTGGTGAGTGTTTATGAACATGCTTGTCAATGGTGAAATGGTGGTGGTGAGACTACTGTACAGGATCACAGAATTGGAGTCGGCTTGCCAGCTTCCTTGATGTTGTCGTGGTGGTGGTGGTGGTGGTGGTGGTTTGTTCGAGCGGGTGTTTGTGTTTGTGTCTTTGTTTGTGTCTTTGTTTGACTGCTACTCTTTCTGTAGTTTCTAATCTGTGATGGTGATGCTGCTGCTCGGTGTCCTACTGTTTGAATTTTCTGCCAGTGTGTCAGCAGTGTGAATGGTAGCAGAAAGAAAGAGGAAAAGAGTTCGATTGAGTCCGAGTGATTGGAAAGTGAAAGTGTTTCTTGTTGACATCGTATCCTTTTTGCGGGCGGTTACTGTGACGTCCAGTGAGACTGAGCCAAAATGTGTGGGGATGGGCGTGTCCTGTCAGACGAGAAATAGAGCGGTGAGGTGAAGGGGGCTTGTCTGGAGAACTCGTATTGCGAGGCTCGCCCACTGGCGCCAGAGTTTTGTGTAAATGTCTGTTCTGGTTGTCCGATGCTGGTTTGGGTGTGTGTGTGTGTGTTGTATTGCAGTAATGAGTTAGGGTAAGGAGTGCTTGTTTGTTTGTGTGTGTTTTGGGGATGTGTGTGTGTGTCTGTGTTTGTGTGTTCATGTTTGGTGGCGGTGTATAAATTGCTTAAAAATTATAAAATTTCACAAAAAACAATCGATACAATATGTATAATTGGATCCAGTCTTTGGATAGTTGTATACAAGTCGCACTGATAATAATAGAAGAAGAAGATGAATATGAAGAATCATAGTAATAAGAGAGAGTTGTGTAAATAGAAAAGAGAAGAGTGATAGAGAGAGGCTAAGGTTGCAAAAAGAGTCCCATGGTTGACAGAGAAGAAGAAGCACTATGTACAAAGCAAGCAGAGGTGAGGTTCTGAAAAAGAGAGACAGAGACAGCGGAGAGGAGGAAACGGAGAGTTACTCGCCAGCGACCAGAGAAGGAGGTGTATTGTGGAGGAGAAGGAGGAGGAGGAGGATCATGAGAAGGATGTGTTACTTCGAAATTTAGGTAGGTAGAAAAGCAGGCCCTGAGTGAGACCGAAAGTGAGTGTGTGGAGTTGCTGAAGGTGGTGGTCATTGCTACACTGCCACACTACTGTCCCTTCACTTTGGTCTGTCTGGCAAAAAGGGCCAACAGCAACAGGAGGAGGAGGAGTACAAAGTTGGTAGGAGATCAGTGTTTGGGTGGGTGGGTGTGTTTGTGTGAAGATCAGGCCAGGGGAGCAGATAAAACAAGGGAAAGGAGGAGGAGGGAGGGAAGGGAAGAAAACAATGAGGGGGGTGGTCTAGTAATGGCGGTGAGTGTGGCTTGGCCCACCCTGGCCCAATGCACAACAGCAACAGCAGCAACAACAACAGCAACAGAAAAAGGTAAAGGTATTGGGGGTGAAAAAGAAGGGAGAGAAACAATGTTTTGAACTTCACAGGGGCACCACAGGAGTTGGGTGACGACAAGGCGACTAGGCTAGTGGCAAGCAGTTTGGGGAGGGGGCTGATGAGGATGATGATGGTGATGATGGTGATCAATGGTAGTCGTTCGGTTGGCTGCTCAGTTTACTGTGAGCGACACTGCAGGTGACAGAAAAATGATGGGGATGAAAATGATGGTAGTGACGATGATGATGGAGATGGTAATGGTGGTAATAGAGGTGATGGTTTTACGGTCGGTGAGTGTTTGTGTGCCTTCTAGTGGCTCTCGAATCCCAGCGAGGGCTAGTGGTGGTGGTGGTGAATGCAGATCTACGAAGCGGGCTGAGTAGTACTATGGACAAAAGGTGCAACAATGCAACGAAAAGGAGTATAGAACGAGGAACTCAGAGGTAACTGTGAATTGAAATTGAACAAAAAAATGGAAACAGTTGTGGGCTAGCAGTTGGTTAACAGGAAACTTAAAGTGGATGATCAGGCTACATTGGCTGACTGACGGACTACATTGGTTGTTTGAAAACTGGAAAGATTAGAAACGGGGCCAAAAAAGGCAAAAGAAAAAAAACTTGGATACGGTAAAAAGAATGAATGCAGAGTGGGATGATTTGGATTCGGTGGGAGATTCGGTGGAGATGAAATTGTAGTTGTTCCGCTGGTAAAGTTGGTGATAATGATGATGATGATGATGATGATAGTAATGGATTGGTGTGTGGGGTCGTGTGTACGGGCAGTGCAGCTCCTAGCTCCAAAGATTCATTGTGAAAGAGATGAGTGAACCCTCGTCGTCACCAGCTGACCACCAGGGTCAGCAGACTGGACGCTGTCATCAGACGGCACTGCCCTTTCGACTGGGCGTGGGCAGTTGTGCGAGCTTCCGATAGGCGGGCGAGTTGATGAAGCGAGGGTACGAATCACGGTGCATGAGCGTGTAGATCTGTAGCTGCGCCTCGTCGAAGGTGTGCGGCGACGGCTCCAGCATGTTCCGGTTGATGATCTCGCGAACGCGAGAGTCTAAGCTCACCTGTTCAGATGGTGGTGGTGGGCAAAGAAGGTCAGAACACCAAACACTCCAAAAAAGAACAAATGAGGACTACTTTGAATTCTCTTACCTCTCTTGGCGACAGTATCGATATGAAGTCGTCGTAGATGCTCCTCGCCTTCTCCTCAATCGTATCACTGTCGGTGCACTTGCGCAGGTCCTCGCACGCCTGCCAGAACATGATGTTCTCTTCGCTGTACTCGCACTTCAGAAAGTCGCGAAACACTTTCCGACCGGCTAAAAAAGAGGGGGAAAAGCACACAGAAACAAACTGTTTTAGTCTCTGATCATTTGCACTAAAAGTTGATGTTACTTCTGCGAGTGCATGCACACTTACTGCTCGTTCTCATCAGCCTGTCAAAGGAGTCGGCCCAACTGCGAATCTCCTCTAACGTCGGACTGAAGGTGGTGAAAGAGGTAAAAGTAAAGTGGAGAAAAAATGTGAGAATCTGCAGACACTTTTGGGGGGAGGGAAAACTGAATATTGATGCACACTTACGGAGGCTCATTTTCACCATTGAAGTAATTCTCTATAGAGGATAGTTGCATTTTGTTTTCCTTGCTCTTCTCTGAAGTTCGTATTGATAAGCTGTGAGGAAGTTTATGAGGAATGATTGTAGGGTTTCAGTTGACCTAATAAACCGTGCAACTTGGACTTACCATGAGCAACAGCAGCAGCAGCAGTTCCACCAGTTATTGCGACAGTGGTGCTGCTGCTGTGCCTGGTCGCCGTTGGCTGTGGCCGCCGCCTCTGCTGCGTTCGCCGCGGCCTGTTGAGAGTGATTGGGGGCAGTTCCGTTGCTGTCGTCTCGCTGACCATCGCTCAGTATGGATGAAGGCTCATTGTGCACTTCAACCTTGTCACCGGTCATCTTACTGCCGCCGCTCGAGCACCCCACAGTACAGGGTCTGTGGGCTCGGGGCGCTGGCTGGAGCTCGGTTTGCTGGGAGTGGCAGAGGAGCAACGTCGTGGAAGCGTTTTGGTGAATGCAGATGATCTAGTCAATATGCCACGCCCCACTTCTTCTTTTGATGGCCCTTTCTTGGTTGCGGGAAAAAGCTGTTTTTGAAAACTAGCACTTGTCAGAAAGTTGATGATGATTGGTGAATGTGTGTGTGTGATAGTAGCACTGATAATTGAAAATGTAATTTAAAGCCAGCACAGTTCACCGAAAACCACACAGTTCACCAGTGGATCACACATTTCGGAAAAAAGGATTAGAATGAATAGGGAGAAGAAGAAGATGCTGATGAAGATGAGTAGGTGTGGTGGGCAACTTGAGTTGATCAGTGCAGCACTCGATTAGCAGCCTGTGCAAAACATGACTGGCCATGAACTCGAGATGCTGGCGCCTCTCTGGCCCTTTTCAGATGTTCGCTCACGGCTCTTGATTCGCCTACAGGGCACTAATGAATTAGAAGGAGGCACTGCCAATGCTGCCGTTGTTGTTACTGGTACTGGTCGCCCGTCGTGGGTAAACAACACAACGCAACGAGCAGATGGACCTGGTGCTGGTGCTGGCGGTAGTAGTAGTAGTAGTAGTGCCAATTAATACTTCTGCTGAATCTTCGCTGTTGCCACCAAAGCCAGTGTGCTGGTGGTGATGATGGTGATGATGGCGGTGGTGATGGTGGTGGTGGTGATGGTGGTCAGGTCGCAGTTGCATGATAGCATGGTAGAATAGTGCACAGCAGTGGTACTCCTTCAGAGTGGTACTACTACTGCTGCTGGAACGACGACAACGACGGCGACGGTGGTGGTGGTGGCAGCCAGCAACGGCGGCAGCCAGATAAGTGTCATCTTCAGCAGTGAGTCAGTCAGACGTTGGAGTGAGTCTAGTGTACGGCTGAAGCAGCAGTAGCAGAAGCAGAAGCAGCACCGATCAGTCAGTCGGTCGAGAGGAAAGAGAGGAAAGAGACGAGAAAGAGGAGAAAGCTGAAGCTGCCGTTGCCTCTGGTTCAAGAAGAGCTGCTCAGTCTACCCGATTCCAGTGCGAAGGGTAGCGACAGGGGCAGCAGGAAGGCAGGCAGGCAGACTGGCACACTAGCAGAATGGACGTGTGTGTGTGTGAAGGGTCTGTGTAGTATTCCTCAGTCAGTGTATTCAGTGCTCGACGTCGTCGTCGGCGGCGGCAGTGGCTGATGCTGCTGAAGTGCGGGGGCGGGGGCGCCAGCGAGCTCCTGTGTGCTCCTTTTCCCTCTGGTAGGTGGTGGCAGTGGTGGTGGTGGTGGTGATCATGCGCTGCTAGTGCCAGTAACATTGTGTCCATCCATCTCTCTCTTCCTTGAAACCATGCGCGCCAAAATGAGGCCAGAGGAGTAGTGGCGGCGGCGGCGGTGCTAGCGGCAATCGGTTTAGGTGCTGGGGGAGCAAGTGGGAAGTGCACAGAAGACGCCGATTCTCTCTCTTCTTTCATTTTATTCTCTCTCGGATCACTGACGGAAAGTCAGCGTGAGTAGAGTAGAGTAGAGTAGTGGCGAGCAGACCGAATTGCTGTGCTACTGACAGCACCAGCATCAGAAGCAGTACCAGCAGCAGCAGCTTACTACTGCCGAAGACGACAGAAAACCACTACTGCCATTACTTGCGACGGCATTCGCTTTGGGTCAGCCTGGCTGCTGCTGCTGCGACACTGTATTTATTCTCTCTCAAATTCTTTCTTTCGCCCGTCCGCCAACCGTGGCCGACTTTCGGCGGTTCTCTGCTGCTGCTATGGTGAGCCAAATGGTGCGGGATGGTCTTGACTTACTTCCTGGCTGCTGCTGCTGCTACTGCTGGCACTGCACAGGCACTACATTACTACTTGTTGGTACGTTGACCTACAACTCGATGGCGGATTCTGCTGCTGCTGCTGCT